GGGGGGGGGGGCCGGAGACGGGCGGGAGCACGCAGGGCCGGGACGGGAGAAAACCTGGAAGCGGGCTGGGATCCGGAGCGGCCAAATCCACTTCCTAGGGGGCCGCACCGGGCGTGCGGCGCTCCCTCGCGCGACACGCCCCGCGGGGCTCCTCCCTCCTGCCCTCCTCCCCTCCTCCCCCTCCTCCGGGGAGGCGGGGAGATGCCGGCCGCCCCCCACCACAAAGAGGGAGGGCTAACTTCTGGGGGGTACAGGACCCGAGTCCTAGGGGACCGCGCCCCTGGGCACTCGTCACGAAGCTCCCGTCCGACTCACAGGCCTTCTGCGCTCGGCCACCTGACTCGCTGACCGTGGGCCAAAGTCGGGCGGAGCCCTCCCACCTCGATACCTGCCCCCGCCCCCCGCCAGCCGCCCCGTAGCCCCGAGGACGCCCCTAACCGCCCTGCTCCTGGGCCTGGAGGGGAAGGCGCCGGCATCACTCGAATTGTTTCGCTGAAGGCACCAGGGGACTTCGGACTCAGAGCTGGCCCTAGACCCTCACCTGGCCCTCTCAGACCTGCTTCCCATTCAACGGTGCTCCGGGAGCTGAACCCAGCAGGCATTCTCCTCCCCCGCCTTCCCCCAGACGCGCCTGGTTCTGCTACCCCCTGAAGTGGGAGAAACCACCCCCCCTCAATCCGCCAGCGTGAGACGATGGGACAGTCAGGGATGACCTCGGAGACTTTGGAAACCCGGCCCAAACCCTCCTGGTGCAAGTAGGGAAACTGAGGCCCAGAGAAGGGAAGCGACTTGCTAATAGCATGCAGCCAGGTTGTGAGTTCAAAACCCTGGGCTACGGTCCCAGATCACGTGGAATAAAGGTAGCCCAAGACCCCCAATTCCCCTCTGCCCTCAAGCCTCTTGAGACAGACTCACACCTCTCTGGGACCCAGTCTCCACTTAGCCACCAGAAAACTGGAAATGGGTGAGTCTCCCACCTTCCCAGCTTTGTCAGATTCCATTAATGAGTGTTTTTGAAGCTCCCAGGGCTCCTTTAATGAAGGGAACTGTGCAGATTGGGAACTTGTCATTACCCTTGTTATTGTTACAATCTGCTTTAAGAGGTTAGGGTGAGAAGTGCCTCAGACACCTCGGGAGTGTGCTGGGAACTGGGCAGATAAAAGGGGCTGGAACTTATTATTTGGCTAGACTCTCAATTCCCATAAAATTACATAGGGTGAAGATATGAACCGTCATTACAATTATCACCCTCATAGGGTTTGTTGAGACTCCGTCCACTGCTGTTTGTAAACCACGTTGACATGTTGGCTCTGTGGAGTTGTGGAAACTTAGGTTAGCTGTTGTCTTGAATGCCCACTGCAGACGCTGACATTTTATTCTTGGAGATCATCAAGGTAAACAGATTGTGACCGGTGTATTGGTGGAACTTAACAAAATTTCTGTGGGTTGGCAGAACATTTAACCCTGCAACTAGCAGAGAAGTTTTTCTAAATACGCAAACTCTACTCCAAGTGAATTTCCTGCCATTTTCAACAGCCTGTCAAATAGTCCGGGTTTTTCTCAAACTGATACCATCAGGTCTTCAAGTTATCGCTAGGGCTTAGCCAAGCACTTGTAACTTTCATTGATCGATGGTTTACTTAAAGAGGTTCTTTACCAAAGACAATACGATGTGAGATGCAACCAATATTAATACTAAAATAAAATCCAGTGACCGTTAGTGAAAAGAAGATACTCCCAAACCATGGAGCCCAAATCCGAAAGCTTCGTTTCACAAGCCAGGGGGAACTCATTCCTTGCCCCCCTGTTTACTCCTGCTTTTCCACTTCATGTATTATTAACCAAAACTTGAGCCTTTTCCACCAGAAATAGTAACCTCTGGCTAGAAACGGATCTGGACAAGTCTGAACTTTTACCACACAAGACAGGAACCCCAAGCCCTGCTCAGAGGCGGTTCCCACTTCAAAGCCTCCTTTCATTTAAATACAAACAGGGCGAACAACTGGCAATCTACGCAACAAATACCATCCAGCTTCCCTTTTCAGATGCCCCTTCGCTCCTCCTTTCCTCCCCTACCCCCACTCCGGCTCTTCTCTTAGAAAGACACTCCTTAGTGGAGATGCACGTACTCTGTAAGTTCTCCGAAGGCCAAAAGGTGGATTGGGTACTGCATGTAGAACGTAAGAATCAACAGCTTCTCAAGACGATTAACCCTGTAGCGCTTTGGGGGAGAGCTTTTTTTTTTTTTTTTTTATTGTGGTAAGATACACCAACATAAAATGTACCGTTTTCACCGTGTTAAAGTATACGATCCAGTGGCATTTCAGTACATCCACAAAGGTGTGCAACCATCACACATCTAGTTCCAGAATATTTTCATCATCCCAAAAGGAAACCCCATACCCATTAAGCAAAGTCTATTCCCTTCTCCCCGCCTAGCCCCCTGGAAACCACTAATCTGCTCTATGTATCTATAGATTTGCCTATTATGGACTCTTGGTATGGAGGGAATCCTGCCACATGTGACCCGTGTCTGGCCTCTTTCACATCAGGTCTTCAAGATTCATCCATATGGGAGCACATATTAGGACTTCTTAATATGGCTGAATACCATTTCATTTTATGGAAATGCCACGTTGGGTCATATAGTACTTTACAGTTTGCAAATTTCTTCCAGGTGTGCTCTTCTACTCCTGGAAAATTTCAGTGTTTTTGTTTTTTTTTTTTAAATAGGTGAGCAGACTGGGTCTCAGGGAGGTTATGTGGCTTGTTCCCAGACACAGAGCTCCTGAGTAGCTGAACCAAGACTGAAAATTGTAAGGCCTCTGACCAAATCCCATGTGATTTTTTGGTTAGAAAACCCAGTACTTGGGGTGCCTGGGTGGCTCAGTCGGTTAAGCATCCGACTTCGGCTCAGGTCATGATCTTGAGGTTCATGGCATCGGGCCCTGTGCTGACAGCTCAGAGCCTGGAGCCTGCTTCAGATTTTG